ATTGGAAGACACCCACTATAAATCTGTGGAGACCCTACCTCAAGGATTGCCTTTCCCTACAGTTGGGAGAAACTGAGGGGACAGTGGAAATGTATTGTCTATGGAGGGTGTGCATTGTCCACTTCTGGAGCTTTCTAAGAAGATAGGACAGCCACCTCAAGGATTGTTAATACACTTTCCTATGCATTGCAGAAGATTGGATTAAATGATCCTTGTGGTCCTTTCCAGCTCCATGATTCTTTGGTTCTATGAGACCACTATTTGGAAGCAAGACCAAGTGGGAAGGAAAATGATCAAAGGGATCTTTTCAGCTGCCCCCTTACACTGAGAGTCTCCTAACTGGCAGTATTCTAAGTTCCAAAAGTGAGGCAGCCCCTGCCTTCTGGGTCTGTTTCACAACCCTCATTGTTCCTCCTTATTGGCTATACTGCCTTGGGGTGATAAGCATTGGAGTTCAAGCATCTGAAGGGAGCCTCAGCGAACCATGCGGAATGGAATTGAATGTGCAGTGGGCTACTATGTCCCACATTTGAACCAGGAACTTAAGTGGGTTTTGCTTCTTCTCAAGCTACAAACCCATCTGGTAGCAGAAAAAAGTTTCTGCTTACTTGGGACTCTGCTGCTTGTAGAAGGTTAGACATGTGCACTCCCATTGTACATCAACACTCATCTTACTGATTTTAATTTGTTTCATCCTCCCTCTGAACTTCAGCATTTATGTCACATCTCTTCCAATCCTTCCACCTATCCATCCATGGATACATCAATATGGTTGGACCCAAGCCAGTTTATAAGTTTCTTTGTCCTACTCCACTGGGGCCACACTGCCCAGTTTCCCTACAGCCATCCTCAAGAGTTCCCACATAGGAATGGAAAGCCAACTTTCCTTTTTTTTTTTAACCCCTAAGACAGAAGTACTTCCTAGGAATGTCTCTTTCACTTGCAATTTGATTTTACTTTAAAAACAAGACAAATCCCAGAGAAATTCAACCACTTCCAGACTAGGTATTCAGAAAGAGTTGACCAAGTCTTAATTAAATAGTTTCCTGTACAAAACATTTTTCGTGATCTAGCAGCGAGCCTAGGGCCAATGTGTTTTCCACAAATGATGATTTCAAAAAATAATGTTTTTGATGGCAGAAACAAAGCCTTTTTGCAAGTGGAAGCCCATAGGCAAAAGTCAATATTAGCTCTTTAGAATTTAAATCAGAATCTATCCAGATGACCTGCCAGCCCAGTGATGTGGAGAAAATACGTGGCTATTTTTGCATTACTGTATATTCATAGATGAAATGCTTTACTGTATGTGTGTGGACCAAGACACAATACTGCTGAGCAGGGTTTCTTAACCTTGGCAACTTTAAGACGTGGACTTCAACTCCC